GTCATATTTTGGCTACCAGTAAAAGACCTGGTTTATTGGAGACACACTTCTTTTCCAGTGGTGAGTTTCCTTCCACTCTTTTCTCCTGTTTGTTTTTCCCAGAGTGCACTGCCCAGGGTCTCTGGTTGAGAAGCCAGAAACCCAGAACTCAGATCTATGTGAGTGATAGGTTGGGCCATGGCTGCCATGTGGGTAGGATCCTGGACCCAGTGGACAGATTCCCATGTCTAAGCCCAGTTCTGCAGCTTAGAATGAGCAAAACCTCCCCTCCAATCACCCCAACTGAAACACCGTGGTCTGGACAGGAGGTTGTGTGAGAGACTGTCTCCAAGGTTCAGTCTGTACAGTGCTTGCCTTGTGAACATGATGACCCGAGTTTACAGGGCCCACATTAAAGGGACAGGGAAGGCAAAACAAAACAGGCATGGTAGCATATGCTTGTACTCCAGCACTGGGGAGGAAGAGACAGGCAGCTTGCTGGGGGGCTCCTTGGCCGGCCAGCCTTGCCTACTTGGCAAGCTCCAGGCCAGTGGAGAGATCGTATCTCAAGACACAAGGTGGACAGCATCTCAAGGAATGACACCTAAGGCTGCCCTGCGACCTTCAAATACACCCAGATATACATAAACATATACACACACATACCTAGGCTATGACCTTGGAAACAATCCCAGAGCCTTTAGTAAAAGGCGACAGGCTAATCATGGATAGCCAGCATCACCATTCCCAGGTATATGCCTGAGAGAAGTATGTTCCCATGTCTTTGAGAAGGCCAGCTTGGGAACGTTTACTGTTGCATCACAGGTAGGAGCTTCAAACTAGGGGCCCCAGATTCCTGAAACAGTGACGTGGGTGAACTAGATGCACAGAACTCACAGACCCTCCACTCGCCCCACAAAACTCACAGAACTTACAGACCCTCCACATGCCCCATAAAACTCCATCCAGAAATGAGGATGCAGGCGGTGAGACCAAGCAGCAGCACAGGACATTCACACCCTCGCTCAGGAGAGATAGCCCAGTAGTAAGAGCATTGCTCTGCAACCATGAGGACCAAAGTTCAGAGCCCAGCACCCACGTGGGACAGAGGCAGGAGGATTACTGGGGTTTCCAATCTAGCCGAGGAAACTCTGGCCTCTGGTCTGGAACGGAATGAAACTGAGCTGCACCGCCTGCAGGACTCTGTGGTTGTCTAAGCTTTTGAGTGCTGAGGAAGGTGGAGAGGGTTCTGGCTCCGCCCAAATTCTGCATGGCTGCCCATCTGGAGCTTGCTGCCACGTTCTCTCTCACTGAGCAGAGATCAGAGACAGCCCCGGCAGCTTCTGAGGTATGAAAGTAGCACCACCGTGCTGGTGAAACCCACAAAGACAACTGACTGGACAAGGGGGAGCTCTTGAATCCCAGACTGATGGCTGAGAGGCCAACAGGGGACTGATCCAAACTCCATGAATGTAGTGTCAGTGAGGAGGCCTCAGAAATTTCTGGGACCTTGGGTAGTAGACCAGTGTTCACCATGGCATACAAATGAACTTTGGGAGCCCATTCCACATGGAGGGATGCTCTCTCAGGCTGGACACATGGGGAAGGGCCTAGGTCCTGCCCTGGATGAAATGACAGACTCTGGAGATCCCCCCAGGTGGGCCCCACCCTCCCTGGGGAAAGATGTGGGGCCTGGGCTGGGGGTGGGAGTGGAAGTAGGGCTGGGAAGGAGAAGGGGGAGGGAGCTGGGATTGACATTTGAAGCATGCACGTTTCTAATTTAAATTTAAAAGAAAGAAAGAAAGTAGCACCACCTAGCCAGGGATCCAGGAGACCCGGGCCTTCTACTTTTGGTCATCTCAAATTGCTACCCATGGCCTTTCCATCTGAAAGATGGGTCTATCAGTGGAATTCCTTGATTCTCAGTCCTCTGCACATAGCCGAGCCAACCCAGTCCTTCCCAATTTCACTAGTGACTTTCCTACCACCTCATCCATCTGGTGTCACCCCAAACCAGGCAATGATGGTTGGCTTCTCCAACTCTGCCCTCTCTAGCCTAACCCCAGGTGACTCAGAGAACAAAATCACTTCCAGGTTTTTTGAGTCAGGGTCTCATGTAGCCCAGGCTGGCCTCCAGTTCATTATGCAGCTGAAGAAGATCCCCTTGCCTCCACCTTTCAGGGGCTAGCATTACAGGTATGGTCCCCACGACTAGGACGTGAGGTGCTGGGAACTGTACCCAGGGATTTGTGCATGCTAAGCAAGGTCTCTACCAACTGGGCCACCTCCCCAGTCCCTTGCTCCTCTTTTAAATGTCACTAGTGTTGGCAATGATTCACCTAGACTGGGCTGGTGGCTTCGAGACCAGCTCCGGACCCGAGACCTCTGTTTATCCAAATCCAGAAACTTCTACCATAAGATGAATAGGGCCTTCTCCCCCATCCCACCCCACCCCCTTTTTTTTTTCTTTTTTGATTTTTTTGAGACAGGATTTCTCTGTTATAGCTTTGGAACCTGTCCTGGAACTTGCACTGTAGACCAAGCTGGCCTTGAACTCACAGAGATCCATCTGCCTCTCCCTCCTGAATGCTGGGATTAAAGGCAACGCCCCACCCCTGCTCAAGGAATAGGGCCTTCTAACACAAGGCTTGGGGGTAAGGTGGGTAATGGACTACTCTGTGGAGTTCAGTCCCTCAGGCCTTACCCTCTCAGGCTGGGGACCATGGGGACAGCCCATGAAAGTATTCTTTCCACATAAAAGGGACAAGCAGAGAGGACCATGGAAGAAAAATGTTTCGTACGAAAACATCTGGTCAAGTATCTTCAGGAGATATTTTCTTCATGAAAGAAATGCCACTCGCCGGGCGTTGGTGGCTCACGCCTTTAATCCCAGCACTCGGGAGGCAGAGGTGTTGGGGAAGTCCTGTTATTTGCCTGTGCATTTGTCAATAAAGTACTGTCTGGCCAATAGAAAACCTAGATAGGAGGGACTAGGAGTCGAGGAGGATTCTGGGAAGGAGAAAAGAGAGAGAGACCCCTTTTCCTTTCACTACCTTTTATCTCTACCTTGACCCCGCCCTGTTGGGCAGGTAGCTTTGTGGGGTTCACTCCTACACAGAGGCAGGCGGATCTCTGTGAGTTCGAGGCCAGCCTAGACTACCAAGCGAGTTCCAGGACAGCCTCCAAAGCCACAGAGAAACCCTGTCTCGAAAAACCAAAAAAAAAAAAAAAAAAAGAAATGCCACTCAACCCAGACAAAGAAACCTTCAAGTGCAGCCCCCCGAGTGTTGCAGATGCCCAGACTGGGCTGGAGAGAAAGTGTGAGGGAGGGCCCAGCGTGCACATGGCCAAAATTACACAGGAGGTAGCCTACTGCCCTTTCTGGAAGGTCCTCAGAAGGCCTGTTGCTTTCACAGTGCCACAGACCACCCACCTGCCATGAAGAAGGGGCCCCAAGATGAATCCCGCGAGTGAGGCCATCTAATCCCGCTCAGAGTCAGAGCACCCCAGAGAAACATCTACACCCCCAGTCCCAGAAGCTGCATCATCTCAGCTCCCCCACTGTCTTGCTGGCAAGTCACTCCTTTACCCACCACCAGCCAGGAGCGGAGGTGCCCTGTTGCAAATGATAACATGTTCTCTACTCCATCACCATCTTGGCCTGGTAACCATGGCAACTAATTCAGCAGAACCATACAGCCATAGCTAGGTCTATGGTAATAGTCAAGGTGCTGCTGACACTCCCTAGTTAGAGAGAGAGAGGTGAGGATCTTGTGTCCAGCCATCACTCCCTCTGCCTTTCCCCAGCTGCCAGTCTATGGTAATAGTCAAGGAGCTGTTGACACTCCCTAGTTAGAGAGAGGGAGGCAAGGATCACCAGATCCTCACCTGGGAGTCCAGCCACCACTCCCTCTGCCTCTCCCCAGCAGCAAGCGCTCCTGGAAGGTGCTAGGGTGTAGAAGAGAACCCGTCACAGAAAGGAGACTATTGTAGGCTTCCATGACATCACCATTCATGATGGGGTGGGACTCTGCGATGGTGTGGCTGCTTTGAGTTACAAAGGCTCCTGAAGGGAACCCCTCACCCATCTTCTGTGAGTAAACCAGCAAACTCGCTGATTCCCCAAGCTGGACTTCGAGAACATACTATTGTTGGTCACCGGTGCCTAACTGGAGTGAACAGACATCTGGTCAGCTAAACCTTGCTTTCCTGAGGGCAAAAAAAGCCCCAGAAGCCCAAAGACTCTGAGTCCTTCACTTTCAGGGGGCAGACAGAGTGAGCACCTTATTAGATCCCACGGTGGGGGGGGAGGGAGGGCAGCCAAGCTTCCCAGCTTCCAAATTCCACCACTTTCCAGCTGAGTGACCCAAGACAAGCATCTTAACCTCTCTGAGCCTCAGTCATTTCTTCCTTTAATTTGGCTAATAAAGTGGCTGCTCATAGAGGTGCTGGAAAATTCCATGAACTCATAGATGTATGGCACTTGAGAAAGCGCCTGGCACAGGACTCTGTGCTCCCCAGGTTATTAAATAGTGTATGATGACTGCTCTGTCTTGATCTCCATGAACTCTCTCAGGATTTCTCTGCTCACAAAAGTGAGCCCCTGCTGTGGGTCAGCCTAATGCTATACAATGTCCTTTAGGACCAGGGATGTCAAAGGATTCCCTGGCCCCAGTGGCCATAATCCCTCTGTTTCAACCATTCCTCCATCATACAGGACAGGCACTCAGAATCCATCTTTCCACATCCTCCTGTCCTCCTACGTCTGTCTACCTTCAGCTGTTTCTGCACAAGCCATTCCTTTTACTGAGAGAACACTTACAGTCTGTTCATAGTGAGCGCTTAGTCAGCCTACAAAACCCAACCCAGAATGGCCTGCTCTGTGAAGTTTTCCCTAACACCCACATATCTCCAGCAGAATCCTGGCATCTGGGATACCAGTCCTCCCCCCCTGAGGAGCTGTGTCTCAAGCCACTACTGTGCATTAGGACAATAATGAGAAGAGCAGCTAGGATGGTGTAGGTCATAAAGGGCAGCTTTGCACCCATCCTCCTCCTAAGGCCTAAGGGCTGGGACCAGCATCCAGGGGCACCATGGAGCCTGAGGTCTCTGACCCAATGGGCTCCTGGGCAGCACCACTAACTGAGATGCGAGAGGAAAGGCCCTTGCTTGCTTTGGGTCACCTGGCAGGAAAGGGCAAAGCTAAGAGCAGAACCCACCCTGGCAATCTGACTTATCTCACGGTGCTCCATCGCATACTCCTGGAGGTGTCTGCCCATCCCACCACACATACACAGCAGCCACCTCTATCACTCTGCATGCCCGGTCACCTCCAGCAACCAGCCTGGGAGAATGAGGCCTCTGTGAAGAGTCAGCAGCACAAAAGAGAGAAAACGGAGATTGGAAAAGGAATACCAGGAAGGAGCTTTGATGGGGGATGGCCTTCTGTATATCTTATTGGTTGATGAATAAAACACTGTTTGGCCATAGAGGCATGAAGACAGGCGGGGCTAGAAGACAGGAGAATGCTGGGGGAGAGGCAGAGCACGCGAAGGACCAGGAGGACAGGACACCAGGCGTTCTCTGGTAAGATAAGGCCATGTAGAAGCGCATAGATTAGTAGTTATGGGTTAATTAAGATAGAGCTGGCCAGTAATAAGCCTTGGCCATCGGCCAACAGTTTTATAATTAATACAGCATCTTGTGTGTTTATTTGGGGTAACGTGGCAGTGGGACCTGGCAGGACAAGTAACTCTAACAACAGGGCTTTTCCAGTAGCAGCCACTGTTCATATGGAGACAGCACTGGGCTACCACCACCCCAAGGAGCCTCTCTAATCTAGGGAGCCCCCAGGACCCAGTATGAGACCGCCCCACCCCTACAGAGTGTCACAATCCTTCTCACTCCAAGGCCTAGAAAACCATCTCCTCAGCTAGCATTTCCTCTCCACTATCTGCTCTCTCCTCCAGACCACCCAGTGTTCCCAGGCTCATCCCAAGAACATCATTCAGCGACAACAGCGTCCAGACCCTGCGGACCACCAGGTGTGACTGAGACTGAAACTCACTGAGCTGGCCCTATATCCTTACATGCTATGGACTTGGTAAAAACGTTGGCTAAAATCTGCCCCGGGGTGGTGAGATGGCTCATCGGGGAAAAGTGCTTGCTGTCAAGTCTGACAACTGAGTTGGATCCCCAGGACCCGCACGGGTGGAAGGAGACAGCCAACTCCTACAATTGTCATGTAATCTCCACACATGTGACACTCAGGTTCACACATATATACACATATGAATGAACAAATGATGATGACGGACTTCTAGCCATCTTTAAAACCCTATGCCGGTACCCCCCTCTTTCGAGACTTCCAGCTGCCTCTCAACAGGAGGTTCCTAATTGCCTCCTCCCACAGCATCTGACATGGTAGAACTGATGCAGGTCTTATCTCTGGGCCAGGCACCCTTAACAGCCACACCCTGGCACAGCACTACACCTTGCTGACCAGAGGCTCAGTTACCTTCTTTAAAGGGCATGCTACTTATTATCCCCATTCCACAAGTGGGAAAACTGAGGGCAGGGTGGCTAAGCAGGAGCCAGAGAAGAGACTTGAACCCAGAGCAGTTTCGAAGCCCCTGCCTGTCACTCGACGCTGCTGCAAGGCTAGACATGTCCTGGCTGTAGCTGAAGGAGCCCTTAGGGACACAGAGCCTATGCTAGACAAGACCTGTGTGATCTCAGCAATCAAGACAGTGACATTGTCTCATCTGTGCCTGATGATGCAAGCAGACAGTACTCTGCCGAGAGGTCTGGACAGGTACCAATCCCACCAGGTAGCAGGTGGACAGACAACACAGGTCCACCTACTTTTTGACTTATCTCCAGCTACCAATGCTTGCTGTGTGGTTCATAGTCTCTTAACCTCCCTGAGCCTTAGAGAATGCAATCGAGGACAGAGGGGCCTGAGGATCTTCTGATTAGGTAGACACCAGATCCAGCTCAGCCCCAACCCCCTCAGCAGTCCCTGCCTTCTATGGAGGGGTATGCCCTCATTGATATAACTCAGACTGAGAAGCCAGCACACACAGTCAAGGCCAAGGGAAGGAACTGCTTTGTCTTCACTGCAGGCAGCTTTTATGGCAGACAGACGGTGCTGGACTAGACAGACACCTGGCCAATTATCTGATAGGCTCTTGGTTATTCACCAAAAGGTGATGGTGGGGTGTGAAGACAACAGCAGGTGCCCAGCATGGGATTGGGCAGACATAAGTGCTCAGAGACCCACTACCTAGAGTTCTCATTTAATGACTAGTGTTCACAGGACAACTAACACGGCCTGGACGGGCAGAGGCTCCTTCCCTCTTTCGCCCAGCCAGCATCCAAGGTTCCCATCTCAGGAGCACTCTTCTTCTAGGCTGGAGTAGAGGATGCTGGGAGCACCTCGCCTGTTCCACCAGCTTCCCTCATAACACATGTTCCCTCCGCCCTCTCATTCTGCAGTCCCTCAGATGACAGCATATTCTACCTTCCAGAAGATGGTAACCTACAGCCACTCCAACTCCTCATACTTCATCCTCCAACTAACCGAAGGGAACAGAAGAGGAATGTTAGCGCTGTAAGGGAGATGCCTAAAGGGACTCTGCGAAGCATGGAAACCATAGCACCAAAGTTCCAAGTGCATCCCCCAAAGAGACCTCATTCTGTCAATGAGAGTTATAGAAGTGCCCCCTTTTCTGCATCTCCTCATGCGTCCTTGTCCATCACGGCCTGTGACTAACCCCTAAATCCAGCCATCCCCCTATGTGGCCTCAGTCACAGGACAGGAAAGATAAACAGAGAGACTCTGAGCAGGAGTCGCAGAGAAACAGGAAGTTCTGCCTGGCTGTGGCTGCCATGCTAGAGGGACCAAGCCCTCAGGAGCACTAGGCCCTCAGGGGCACAGAAGGATGGCAGTCGGTTGGTGGGCTTGCTCAGTAGCTGCACAGAAGCATGAAGTCCTGCGTCGGTCAGTCCCAGCCCTGACACTGAAACTGGCCAAGCCTCTGCCAAGCTACTTTGCCCAAACCTCCCCATGCCCAGTCTGGGAAATGGGGCTGACCACTCAGCAGTGAGAGGACATGATGTAGAGAAGACATCTGAGGGGGCCTTCGGGGTGCTGTTCCAGCAGGGACCCTGTGGGTACACTTGGAAGGATCCCAGTTGTCTCATTGGACGGTAGAAACAGCCAGTACTGGTCCGAGTGCCCTCGCCACCTCCACCCCAGTGGTCCCCGACCATCGAATGTCCCGGATTGACACATGCCCAGTGTGCATTCTGCCCCCGGCCTTCAAATCCCTCGATTCCCTTCTGGGTGACATCACTCTAGCCCACAGGATGAAGTATCTGTGACTCTACTATCCACCAAGGCCTGCTACCTCCTGGGCCTTCCCCCACCTGCAAGGGACCCCTCCCCGAGTTTTTCCTCAAGTGTGACAGCCAACACCAACACAGCCCAAAGTCCAGGACACAAAAAATGTTCCACTTGCTTACTCAGGCCATGGGGAACCCAGCCCAAAGCCCATTACCACCTCATTCCATCCTCCCACATGGGAAACCCCAAACTTTCTTCCCACATCTCTTAGCCTCTCGGAATGCCAACCATAGACACGTTTTTTTGTTTTGTTTTTTTTTTTCATGACAGTCAAGACCAGCCGTGGCCTCTTCACTGCCCAGTACTAGACACTCAGCTCTGAGACCATCTGGGTAGAAATCCCCAGCAGAGGCCACCCCAACACAGTCCAGTCTACAGTTCCCATGTGTTGCGGGGAGTGGGGGGTGCTCTCTGCAGGGGCTAGGTTGAAGGGGGTCCTCTGGAGGCGTGCTGAGTTTCACTCCTTCAAACAGGAACCACGCACCAGGCCTCCTCTGGAATCAAGGAAGCTCACAAATGCAAACACACTATGAAAGACACACACAAGTTTCCACTATTAATAAGGAAAGAGGATGTCAAAGTGCCCTGTCCTGCAATCCACACCAAGGCAATCTAGCTAACAGCAGCAAGGAGAGCTCACAGGAATCCAGAATTGTAAATACAAAAAAAAAAAAAAAAAAAAGAAATCAGAGCCCCTTGTTTCAGAGTCACAGGGGGCTTCTGCCTGCATTGACAAATGAGAAAGAATGGTCTGTGGTCTAACTTCACGTCACCTGGCTGGACTGTGACAGGTCTCACTATGTATCCCCAGCAGGCAGGAACTATAGACAAGGCTGCTCTCCATCACAGACACCCGCCTGCCCCTGCCTCCTGAGTGCTGGGCTCAAAGGCATGCTCCACCATACCCAGCTACCCGGCCTGGATCTTTGAGGGAGGGAGAGCACACTGGACAAGAAGAGTAAAAAGTGGCCTGAGAAGGGGACCAGGGGCCAAAAAGTAGACAAGAGCTAGGGACAGGAGACCTGCACTCCTGTACCACCTCAGCCATGAGCTCACTGTAGGGCCTCGTGTCTTCAACAGCCATGCTCCAGAGCTTTTCTCCAGGGAAGACCAGGGAATGGACAAGGAAGGACTCGAGGCTAGGGAAATGGATGGGGGTCTGGGAGCAGCCGGAACTGTGTCACCTCAGGATGAGAAGTTAGAGAGGGAACTCTGGGAATATATTCATCAGGCTACACTAAACTGTTTCAGACAGGGAAGCGGGGAGGGGAAGGGTGACACAACAGTAGCAAGGAGCTCAGGCTTGAGTAGCAAGGCTCCCGCAGTCACAAAGGCTGCTGTGTGGTCCCAAGGGACACAAGGAATCACCATCCGTATGGGTTGCCACAGCCCCGCTGTGCTGAAGCAATATAAGATGCCGGGGTGGGGCCTGGCTCAGGGTGACCACTCACCCCGCCACCTTGCTTTTATAGCTTGGGTGTGGAGTCAGGAAAAGATGCAGAGGCCCAGCTAGCCACCCCTGCCCCCAGGTCACAAGCCCAGCTGCCACACAGCACACCCTACCCACCATGCTCCCAGAAGGCCACACAGATCTCACCACCCAAGTTCCTGGCCCTCCTGCCCCTGTTCCCCCTAACTACACTCTCACAAGAATTCCCTTGAACGTGAGGGGCCTTAGGGCCAGTAGCTGGGCATCTCAGACAGGGGACGGTTCCTTCCCCCTGCTTCCTGCCTGCCATCTCTTGCCAAGTACAGGGCGTTGACACTACCAGCTTTGCCAGTCTGCCCATGCTATCCCTTAGCTTACCACGGGCCCTCCCCTGAGCACAGAGGGAAGACAGCGCATGTGCGACCCATCCACCTTGAGGCCTCCTGTTACTAAGAGTGTCCCTGGCTGCAACGATGGAGGGGCCTTTCTAAGTCATGGGAATGGGAGAAACATGGTAGAGATACCAGGTTAAAAGCTGGCCAGTTATTACCTTCAGATTCCAGCCCACACAGACCACACAGCTTTGAAGCACAAGCTAGCCTTGAACTCCTCTTGCCTCAGCCTCCTGAGGCATGCAACAACAACAACAACAACAACAACAACACACACACACACACACACACACACACACACACACACAAATGCAAGCACAAAAATCACAAAAAATCAAAATCTTTCCAAAAATCGTCCCATCGATGCACCCACATCGGTCCCACTGGTACCACCCACAGCAACAAGTGAGAAGAAATATGCCAACCTGAGAATTCACCCGGAGCAGTGATGAGGGAGTTGGTGGCCTCGGTTTCAGTGTAAGACAATGTGGAATCGGACAGATCTGTTCGAGGGGAAAAAGAAAGAGAATTCAGTTGGCAGAAAGGCACCTGTTCCCACGCACAAAGGGCAGATGTCCCTGATGACCACTTAATTAATGTATATTTATTCATGTAGCCCTGGCTGACCTTTATTTCAGTATGTAGCCAAGGATGACCATGAACTCCTGATCTGATCCTCCTGTCTCTTATCTCCTGAATGCTGAAATTACAGGCATGTGCCACCAAACTGGGTTTATGCAGTGCAGGGAATCAAACCCAGGGCTTCACGTATGTTAGGCAAGCGCTCTACCAACTGAGCTACACCCACAGCCCCCTCACAAGTTTCTGGTGTTACCCCCAGACCAGGCCAACCATCTAGCCCCAGAACTCTTCCCGAAAAACTGCAGACTGCTGTGACCCTGACACCTGGAAGAGCCTCAGTGGTCCTGACCACAGGAATAGTTCACATTCAGGGGACTGAGCAAGCACCAACTTGAAGCCTGTTTGGGTAAGGTTAAATTAAGTCCCTGAACAATTCATAGCTGCTAAACTTAATCACAACCATTAAAATTCTTGAAGTTGTTCGTTCTTGCTTCCTTCCTCCTTCCCTTCCTTTCTTCCTCCCAGAGCTGGGGAAAAGTAACAAATCACTAGCCACCTCTGTCCCCACACGCCTCTAATTAAGACCCAAGTGTCTGCTCTCAGATTAACGTTTGCTGTCTCCTCACCTCTCCCACTCCCCAGCATCCACACGGCCTGTGGAGCTTGGGCTGGGGTTTGCATCTGTGCTCGCGTTTTGAAGAGCAGGCTTAATTAAGCACTTCATATGGCATGCATCACCGGCCATCCCCGGCCTGCGGTGCGTTGAAATGGAAGGGAACTGTTTCTGCCCCACTAGCTTCATAAACTGATGCTCTGGGGGACGAGAAGACTGGGGAAGTTTTCCCCCCTAGGTCTGGGCCTTTGTAACTACCAGCTTGGGGTTGTCTCCAGTAAAGGACATGGACCTTGAGAAGTTGAGAAGACATGGATGGGGGGGGAGGCCTGAAACCTTTTTCTTCTGGTCACCCAACACAAGCCAGCCCCAGCTAGCCTGGGGGTTGGGGATTCCTGAGACAATCCCCTGAGCTTAGGCTCTAGAATTCCATTTCATCTTGCAAGACTTTTTTTTTTTTCCTTTTACTACATTGCTTGAAGAGCAGGAAACATGAAACATTAACCAAATCCTTTTTTTTTCATTTCCCACTTGCCAGATGCTGAGTTTTATTTTGGTTTCTGGTCTCATGATCAGAGAGACACAGAAGTGACCTGTGTGTGTGTGTGTGTGTGTGTGTGTGTGTGTGTGTGTGTGTGTGTGTGTAAAGAAATAATTCAATGTACTATTTCTCAAGGGAACAAAAAATATCTGCTAGTAACAATACTGAAAATAAAGGCATGAGAAAAATCTTTTAAAAAAACCTTCAATGATAAAGATTTAAAATTTTGCATTGCTGTGTATGTATGTCTGCTTGCATGTTTGTGTGCATGTAGGTGCACATTGTACATATGTGTGTATATACACCAGAAGTCAACTTTGGGTGCCATTCCTCACCTTGCCTTGTGAGGCAGGGTCGTGACTGGCCTAGCTCACTGGCTGGTCAGTGAGTCCCAGCACTTTACTGATTGGCCATCTTCCCCGTTTGCATTTAATATCTACTGCCCCCAGTGCAGAATGCCTGGAACCTCAATGTTACTTCTCTGAAGGAGCAACACCAGGTCATAGGCTCAGTCCTATTACTTTTTTAAAAGTTTTACTTGTATGGTTTTTAATTACGTGTAGGTGTGTGTCTCCCTGTAGGTACGTGTATACTGGAGCTGGAATTACAGACAATCCTGAGCTACCTGCTGTGGGTGCAGGGAACTGGACATCCACATAGGTAGCAGCCAGAAGTTTTCAGAAAGAGTAGGAAGGGCAAGTGGCTTCTGCCTTTGGAAGTTACTGAGTGCTTGTCACACACTTGCCTCGTCCACAGATGTAGACTTCCCACCGAGGCCCTCAAAGGCAGCCTTCCTATGATGGCTGCTATAGAAAGAGATCTCTCCCAGCTTCTAACACCACCTCAAGTCATGGAGGGATCCTGGATGGGATCTGGAGGCCCAGTTCAAAATGTACCTCCAGCAACAGCCCGCAGTATCGGAGGTCACTACCTTTTTCTATAAAGTGTAAGCACCTTCGCCTGCGAGAATCTCACATCCTGCCCCGCTTGCTCAGATGTCCAGGAGCAAGACGGAGCAGCAGCGGGCAACACGGAGGAGCATCACTGTGCACCGGCTGCTTGCCTTCAGGCCACCTACATTTTGTTCACCTTTCATATTTGGGGGGATGTTCTTGCAGCTCTATTTTTTTCCCACATAGCTTAAAAAAATAAAAACAGAGCCGGTCACAGTGGTGTGTATCTGTAATTCCAGCAAGCAGGAGGCTGAAGAGGGAGGATGGAGCATTTGAAGCAAAGCCAGCCTAGACTCTATAAGGAGATCCTGTCTCAATCAATCAATCAGTCATCAAATTAGTAAAAGCCATTCTTATCTCTAATGCTAAGATGGAGTGTTGTGAGCCCCAGCAAGGGTCGTGTGTGCTTTCTGGGACTCAGGTGTCCCACCTGTGACACAATGGGATATCTGTTAGCTTCTAAATGGTCACTCTCTAGGGCTTGTCTGCTTGTCCCCAAGCTGACTGACACTTGCTCTAGCAATGATCCTGCCACTGGTTACGAACTTTTGACTTTTCCTTTCTCTAATGGAGAGAGGCATCTTCTATAGGACAAGTATTAACTGTGTTGACTTAGGAGATGCTAAGGGTGGCCTATGGAAGGAAGATGGTGAAGTCATGGCCTGAGCTGTGACTGCCCTGGGTTGGTGCCGCAATCCTGCAGCTCCTCAGCTAGAGGGTCTCCCTCTCCTCACTCATCTGGCTCCTCCTCATCCACCACAAGACCATGACCCCTCTAGTTCCCAAAGAAATAAACAAAGCTCCCTGAGCACAGGGGACACAGCTAGAACAAACATCACTGCTCAGCCACTGCCTCCCACACCCTTGAGGGACAGCCCTCACCCCATTTGCCATGGATCAAACTCCTCAAGTAACTCTGGGGTGGCCATATTTCTGATCTCTCTAGGGATGAATGGCTGGAAGGAACCTGGGGTGAGCCCGACTCCATGATCCTGGAGTTCATGCACTCCAGAGAGGATGCTTCTACCATAAACTTATTCTTTGTGGTCCACTGGGAATGTTCTAGCACCCATAGCATGCCAATGGCCTTTGGAGGCCTGGACCTCACAGTAACTGCTAGTCACAATGCTGCTGTGGAGGAGCTCTTAAAGCCAGCTCACATACTACTGGAACTCCACAGACTACATCATTGCTCCAAACCCACTGGGGAGAGCCCAGGGCCCAGGGCATCTCTGCTTTTAAATTGTGTGTGTGTGTGCGCGCGCGCGCGTGTGTGTTCATGCAAGTGCTCGTGGAGACCAGAAGAGGGCATTGGATTTCCTGAAGTTGGAGTTACACGCAGTTGGGAACTGCCCAGTATAGGTGTTGGGAACCGAACCCAGATACTCTGCAAGTGCAGTAAGTGCTCTCAACCCATGAGTCATCTCTCCATCCCCTCATCGGCTTCTAAAATTGTATGTGTGCATCCCAGAACATGAGCTGACACTTAGCCCCAAGGTTGTATAGAAAATATGTCTTGCCATTGCACAGGACTTATCTGAAATGTCACACCCTCTCCACTAAGTTCCCTCGGAGACAGCTAAGCCACCTGTCTACCTGTCCAGGTGGGGGACAAGGACAGATACAGCTCAGCAAACACTCTATGCCCTGTCTGCCTCTGGCACTCCCAGTTGACACACTGGTGGACATAACCCAAGGCTCAGGGAGGAAGGAAGGGAAAGAGACCCAGAAATTCCACCCCACCTCCAAAGAGCAGCTTAAGTCAGAACCCATTCATCTCCCACAAGCCCATGTTTAAAAGGTCATAGAGAGGTTAACGAGGAGCCTGGAATTTGAAGATGTAAATAGTCTCCCTGCAGCAGCCCAACCGTGGGAGTGTTTGTAAAACTTCACCCTGTTTGAAAGCACCCAATTCAGCCCACCCCTCAAGAGGAGGGCACACTTACCCAGTGGCTTGTACTGGTCACGAGGAGACAGCCGAGAATAGGGGGGTGGCGGTGATTCTGGAAGACAGGATAAGCATGTCACACCTGGTGTCCCGCGTGCTTTTAACTATTAGTTTCCTCAAATAACAAGCTCTGACCCCAGGAAGTTTCCACCATCTCTGCTGCTCCCTGGGGCTCAGTCCCTACCTGTACCAACTGTGCTTTGTGAGCAACAGAGTTCCTTCGTCTCTCTAAGATGATTTCCTCAACTATTAAACAGGGGTGATAATCATCCCCTTTGGTTTTGCCAGAAGAGCAAAAGATAGCATATGCAAAATGCTTAGCACAGCTCTTGGTCACACTCCCATAAACAGCACCTTTATTATCATTATGACTAGAAAAACATTAGTGCAGAAGTCAGCGCTCGGGCTGCCAGATAATATACAGGAGGCTCAGTTCTGTTTGCATTAGGGCTAAACACCAAGTACGGTCTCTTAGTGTAAGCACAGGCCTTACGATATCTGGGATATACTTATACTGAAATTTTAAGTTGCTTGTGTGAAAGGAAACTGAATGAGCATCCGAAACTTTTATTTGCCACCTCCGACAAGCCAAATCAGAGTTCAGAAAGCCCACACATGGAAACATGGCTGGGGAGGGAAAAAAAGGGTGGGGGACTGGGGACATGGCATAGATGTAAAGAAGCTTGCTGCCAAGATGAAGGACCTGAGTTTGATGCCCAGAACCCACATGGTGGAGAGGGAGAACAGATGGCCTCAAGTTGTCCTCTGACCCTCACATGTGTTTCATGCCATGTACGCACCCCCACTACATACATGATTACAAAATAGATTTTAAAAACTATTTCATCCACATTAGAACCTCTATTCCTGAGTGTAGGGATGGCAGCAGGGCTATGGGGCCCTGGATCCCTTCACATTCTAAGTCAGTTACTTCCAGGCTCTGGCCTGAGTCTCTCGTTTTATAAAGGAAGGCCAGGGTTGGGTTCCAGTCTTCCAGCTCAGAGCCTTGATTCTTGATTGCCTATGGTGTTTTCCTTTGGGCTGCCTTTCATTCGCCTAAAATACTCCTCCTTTAAAACATATACTTTGCATTCAGAGGAATTTCTTAGGCTCTTGCTTTCCCGGGAAGTAACAATTTGCTAAACTAAGTAACAATCTGGGTGAATGAGATGACCCTCCATTTTCTGTAAATGAAACTGAACCCCATCAGATCGCAAACTAAAGCAAACTCTGCAGTAATAAAGGGGTAATAACTATTATTAGGTGGGTATCAGGAATGACACAGGGTAATGACTGTTTTTGCAATTATAATAAGGCACCATTAGTTACATGAGCATTAGTTATGTGCTATCCATACACCTAAAGGAGGATTCCCTTTCCTGCCAACCTGTCTCTGCAGCCAGAGGTGGCTTCCTCAGAGTCAAGGCTCTGCTAGGGCAGGGATTCTCTGTGGACAGGGTCACAGGAGAAGTCAAATAGGGCAAAGTCACTGAAGAGACCTGAACATTCACTTGATGCCAGATGCTTTCAAGTTTCTGTATTGTCTCTGATTTTTTTTTAATTTATTTTACGTGCACTGTTGTTTTGCCTGACTGCATGTATGTCTGTGTGAGGGTGTCAGAAGTCCTGGGAACTGGAGTTACAGACACTTGTGAGTTGCCATTGAACCTGGGTCCTCTGGAAGAGCAGCCAGTGCTCTTAACTGCTGAGCCATCTCTCCAGCCCCATCTCTAACTCTTATAACCCTCAAGAACACAATGGTTAATCACACTAATCAGACACCTGTTTCAATTTAGTCTTTTCTCAGAGATGAAAAATAATTCCTTAAGATGGTGTTCACATTCATTTTGCAGACAAGGAAACTGACTGGCTCCGGCCACCCAAGACAATCATGGCAGAGCTGAGATTTCCACCCAGGCCTGAGTTTGGCTTCACTGTTTCAAAGGGCCCCACTGCACCCAGTGTTCACTTATGTTTCCAGGCAAAGGCAAAGGAGTGGGAGAAAGGATCTGAGAGACAAAGGGGACCTACCAGTGACCCACACAGGACATGGGGTGGAAGACTTTGAGTAAGAGCATTCGTCCTCAACACAGCGGCCAGCCCTGACAGAGAGGTCCAGTCACCCAGCATGGAAAGGCCTGGCGCTCTCAGGGAGAGCGGCCTGAGCCTGGGGAGCGGAAGTGACTCTCTGGAGAACTGGCTGTGGAGGGAGAACCAGAGCCATGTCTAGCACACACCCCCTTTTACAATCCCTGAAACCCAGGACATGGCTAGACATCTGCCCCCACACCTGTCTCCAGCAAGCGACTGTCACCAACCCTAGCCTTCCCCATCCAACCCCTCTTTCTCTGAATTTTTTGGAAACAAGTGTCTCATATAGTCTAGGCTGGCCCTGAATTCTGTATATGACCAAGGGTGACCCTGAACTACTAAGCCTCCTGAACACATTACAGACATATCCCTGGCCAGTTCCAGTATATCTTTCAGGGACTTTAAAATGCTCATCATGTTTCCCCATTTCGAAACACCCACTACGCACAGTCACATCTAAAGTAGAGGTTCCTAACACTGTCAGTGAGACAGAAAGAAAACAGATAGGCCAGAATTTCAGATATGCAGCCAGGGTACGACAGCCAAGCTTCTGGGACGTACTTCATCTAACCACAGATCCTTCTAGAAAGTAAAAAGCATAAGGCTTATAGTCACCAGCCCAGAATGCAGAGCTGCAGCATGTCAGAGGTCAAAGGGGGTGGGGCTTCACCAAAATCAACTTTTACTTATTTTGACTCTGAAACAGGGCTCAAGCTAGCCTCAACTGCATTCATGCATCCTCCTGAGCATTGGAGTCACAGGCATGCACCACCAACAAAAGCTCTCAACTCCTTTTTTATTAATGGAGCACCTGATATCTATCCAGTAAAAGACCCGCCCAAGGCCATGCTGGAAGGCTGCTATGTAAGTCATCGTGTTGCTGTTGGAGACCAACACCAGGTAATCTTGGGGAGGCTCGAAGATCACCCTTTGAAAGTATACGATTTAGTTGTTTGGGGTGCATTCGAAGAGTTGCGTGACCATTACCATGATCTATTTATTGGACATTTTTGCCAACACAAGAAGAAACCCTATCCCCATTAGCATTTACTTCCTATATCCCAACCCCAAACTCCAGGCAACCAGTAATCTACCTTTTGTCTCCATGGATTTGCCTATTTTGAAAGTGTCATGTACATGAAATCATACACTCTGTAGCTTTTTGTGTCTGTTTCTTTCACTCAACACAATGTTCTCCAGGTTCATCCATGCCTTGGCATGTGCACGCACTTCACCCTTTTTTATGGCTGGATGATATTCCATTGTGTGGCTACATCACACTTTGTTTATCCAGTCATCAGCTAATGGACTTTTGGGTTGGTTCCACATTTTGCTGTTATGAATGATGTGCTGTGAACAATACCAGTAATTCTTACCTGTCCCTCCTACTCCCCTCCCACACAGCCTCCAGGATTTAGGAAAATGGAACCATATGACACTTAACTCAGGCAGGCTAGGTAAGCCCTCCACTGGGTAAGACACAGGACCAGAAGAGAATCTTCACATTGACCCCTAGCTCTCCATCCACTGCCTAGAAGATATCCTAGCTGCTGCTAAGAGTTATGCTGATTTGGAAATCATTTACACACTGTAAACTCTAAAGGAACTTCCATTCTCTATAGGATCCTTGAAGAGAGCTGGACATGGACAAGTGAAAAAGAGAAAGACATCAAAACTCCAAGCCCATCATACTTCCACCTAAGGCATAGACTATAAGACTCTCCCCTAAAGTCCTCCAAAGGCTGAGTAGTCAGCCAGGGGCCAACAGCACCAGAGTCAGCCCAGCCCAGGCCCCTCTGGTCAGCCCTCAGGGGCTACCTGGCCTTCTGGGATTTAGACCTCCATTTGAGGCCAGGAGAAAGTTCACAGTCTGTCTCTGAGCCTGGGGGGAGTTTCCACTTGACATCACTTTCCAGCCATCTTTGGGGCAGCTCTTTGCTGTAGAACAAGACCCACACGCTTGCCTGATCCTCCAACTTTTCTTTTCTTCCTCTCAAGGGGTGACAGGCAAGCGGGAGTGGAGGGGAACTCCTGGATGCCTGTGTCTTCTTCCCTCAGAACCTAAAGACTCCAACCTCAAGCCCCAGGACCGGAGGACAGAAAAGGAGCTCCTGGCACTTTAAGGCCGAAGGAGCCTAACTGCCCAGATTCCCCCAGCAGCCAGATAAACAGCGCAGCCGGCTGGCGCCGGCAAGAGGCAAACTGGGCATTATCACTGCTTCCTCACCTCCAAGAGAGGAGCGGGGAGCAGACAGACAGGCCGAGGGGCCGCGAGGGGGCGGGGCGGGGCCGGGAAGCCCAACTTGAAATTGATCTCATTTCAAAGGGATAATGCCAGGCCAAATAAAAGGAAAAACTTTCTAGCTCATTCTAATTCCTCCAGGCCTGGCCTGGGAACCCTGTGTTTTCCTAGGCAGCCTCCTCCAGTCCTTTAGAAGTTCTCTCTCTCTTTCCCGGGCACAATTTGGATAATAGTAATTTACTGAATATAATTACAGAAAAAAAAAGTAGGGAAGCAAAGAGCAGGAGATTCATTCCAGAGTTAATGGATACTTGCAAGAGAAAGGAACTCTATAAACAGGTCAGAGCTGTGATTAAAGTATTTCTCCACATTTCCGTCCACATAGGCACCCACCAAACTCAGCGCTGCCTTTAGTCCTAAACAGAAAGGCCCAGGATAGCTCCCAGAAGCCCCCAGAATGTGTCACCTCTGAGCCTGGTACTAAGGGCAAGGGGACTCTGCAGGACATCAGTTTCTAAGACAAAGCCCATGGGGCCTGGAACCTGCCAGTCACCTCTTGACCTCAGGTGTTCGAGCTAACCCAGACCTTTATAGGTGGGAGGAGTCCAGGGCCATCAACTTGCCAGGCTCAGAAGGGGACCACACTTCCCAGGTGTCTTGACACTGGGAGCCTTGAGGATGGCGGCCAGGCATGAATGACTGGTGCTGGGTGTTCCCACGCACTTTACTCTAGTTGTATGCGAGATCAGACTGTCTGTCTGTCTGCCCACTTGCCCAATGCCCCAGCCCTCTTCCCTGAGCTGGAAAGTTGGGAGGAGCGGTCTCCTTATCAGGACGCGCTCGGCTGAACCCCAGCTATGTGCCCGCCCATTTCGAGGAGCCAGGCTGGCGGCCAGCCCCGGGGGCGGAGTGCGCAGTAAAGGGCTTCCCCAGTCCCCAGTCCCAGGGAAGGCAAGGGGGTCAACTTAGCATACTGGAAACTCTTGCTTCTTTCCCACACAGTCCTCAGAGGTTCCCCAGTAGCTGACTAGAGCTCTCCTAGGTTCGTGGCTAGCAGAGGCAGGGAATATATTCATTTTGCATGCCCCTCCACCCCCGCCCAGGGGGAAGTACCTCAGAACAGCTGAAAATGTCTATAGAGCCCTCCCATACATACACACTCATCCAAGGTCACTATCTGGACGGAGCCTAGGTCCAGATTCTATAGTTCATCAGGTCTCTCTCAACCTCCCCCTGTACAAACAGGGTCAATTCTGAGAGCAAAGAGTAGGAGCTGAGTGGGGTCTGGTCCTAAGGCCTCCTGCTTTTTGCTCCTCCTGAGCAAGCCCACCAGAGCAAGCCCTCTTTAGGTCCACCCCTCCTCGGAGGCTGCTCCAGGTTAAAGGCGTGGCACTCCCAGAGGTGATCCAGTTACAGACACACCCACAGCCCTCTCGGTGGCTCAGACCACTGTCCTAGCCCCTCCCCCTCACCTTCTTCCCACTTCTTCCCACCTCCCGGGAGGATTTCCTGACAGCATGAATCCTACTCTTTCTATCTATCTCGGTCTCTGTCTCTGTCTTTCTCTCTCTCTCTGTCTCTGTCTCTCTCTCTCTCACACACACACACACACACAACATACACACACAATACCTGGTACAGAGTAAAAGCTCAACAAATTTGTTAGTACTGTGACTTGGCCACGGGGGGGGGGCATATCCACTAGGGCCTTGTGGAAGTGTACTGGGCCCCACCACCCATCTCCTCCTAGGAAAAAAATGAGAAGAGGCAATACAAGTACAAATAGGGTCCTCCTCCCCAGGGACAGAGATTGCAGTCTCCTCCAGGGGAAGCTGTCAGATAGCCTCCAGGCACAGAAAGCCAGGGATTACCCAAAGTCTCTACATTGATCCTGGAGAGACAAATCATGAGGGAAGCACATTAGGAACCATAGTAAGGGAGGGAAACTTTCTCTTCATGCCACTAGGCCCTCCTCCATACACTGAGCGTGTTCTCTTTCCACACTTAAGTCAGGAGACCTGAGACCTGACTAGAGCAAACACCTGAAACTAACTACCTGGACCATTCGCCCCTGCAAACCCTCCCATGCCTTGACTGTGTCCACCGACCCTATAGTGAGTGTTTCTAGTGGTACAGAAAACACGTGTGTGTGTGTGTGTGTGTGTGTGTGTGTGTGTGTGTGTGTAAGCTCCGGGCCCATCAGGGGCCTTCATCTGTTCTCACCTCTGCTCCTGCACCTGAGCCTGCCTAGGTAAGCAAGGCTAAGGTAGGGTGTGTTCAGAAGATCCCAGAAGAACAAAGGGACTAATAACAAAAGAGCTAGCAGCCTCTCAGATGCCTTAGGAGCCTCAATTCTAGAGGTGAGCTAAAGGCAAGAATTAAGAGCCCTGATGATGGAGGAGCCTGGCGACACCACCCCCACTGCCACCCCTCCCCCCAAAGGATGTGGGAAACAAGAGCTATTGCCCTGCAGAATCTGGGCTCAGAGCATAGAAAAGGACAAATGGAACATTTTGCAAACACTTTTGACGATAGGCACGACTAGCCTGCAAACAATTTCACAGACATACCTACCTGGGTGCAGAAAAGCACAGCCAGGGCATAGGCTATGTATACAAATGCTAGAAGCTGGTTACCGACTGGGGTGAATCCCCAAAAGGGAGATGTCGCCTACTCCTTTGGCCTCTCCATGGCTTGCTATCTCGTTTCACAAAACTGCAATCTACTTTAAGTCCCAGGAGCTGCATACAGAAAATCGGAACATGCCCTTTCTAAATTCGCTGGTGCTACAAGGGAAGTTAACCCACTGAAGTTGCAGACATCTACCCCTCAGCTTTTCTCAACCCACTGCAGGCTCCCGGAACCGGGGAGCTTCCCTAGAGCATCCACAACGAGGTGGCACAGAAAAGGAACAGAAGATGAAGGCGTGGGTCGAGGCGACCCCGTGCGCGCGCGCTCACCTGGCCCGCAGAGCCGGCTGAAGTGGTAGGGGTTGCAACACACCGTGGGCCCGTCGGCGGCAGCGGCGAAGCTGTGGCAGCCGCACAGGGGTTTCAGCTCCACTGCGTGCTGCAGGTCTGGCCAGCGAAAGAGGCGGCCGAGCAGCAGCTGCGGTGGCGCAGGCTGGCCGCCCAGGCAGAGGTCCGCGCGCGGCACCAGCACGCAGCCGCCCGGCACGCCGCCGCGGGACTCCACCGCCTCCAGCAGCGTGTCCAGCGAACGCTCCTTGAGCCGCTTGAGCAGCGAGTACGTGACGGTCTTGAGTTCCTGCTCCAAAAGCAGCAGCCTAGAGCGGGCTTCGCGACCCCGAGGCCCGCCACCCTCCTCTGGCTCCGGAGACTGCCCGGCTGCGGGATCACCAGCGTCCCGGGGCGCGCCCGCAGCGTCCCGCTCGGAGAAGAGACAGCAGGTCACCGTCTCACAGTCACTCTCAGGCAGCCATCCGGGGCCTCCAGGCTCCGCCACATCCAGCAGGGAGCCCTCAGCTCCGGCCCCCGGCTCCGACACCGGCCTCGGGGGGCCCCCCGTGCGCCGGCGCCTGCCGGCGATCGGGGCGCCTCGCGGTCCCACCGCGTCCCGGGGCCGCCGCGGGACTACCGAGCGGACTTCAGAGCGGCCGCAGCCTCCACCCTCTCGTGCCCGCGGGGCAGGCTCAGCTCCGCTGCCCAGGCTCCCATCCTCTTCGCCACCACCGCCGCTGCCGCCACTGCCTTCCTCCCGATCAGGGACCACACGACTTCGCCAAAGTCGCCGCACCAGCCCCGAGCGTTTAGACCTGAACATACGATATCCTTTGGCGCCTGGGGTGGTGGGAGGGGAGGCGGTCTCCGGTTACCGGGGGTCCGTTCCCTCAACGAGGCGCCGGCTGCGCGGGCCGCAGCCCCACATGAAGCTCTGCCGCGGGGCGCCGTGCAGACCGCGCACAGCCTGTCGTCGAAGGGGCGCCGCAGGGCTGCAACATGAGGGAGCTCGCGCCGGGCAGGGCCGGGAACACGCGCGCGCCAAGCCGCAGTCCGCGCGGGACCAGCAAGCTACATGGACCGCGGTGGGCCGGGACTGCTCAACTCCAGTCGCCCTGGAGCCTTCGGGGAGTCGCGGACGAAGCGATGCTAGAAACACCCCGCATGGGCCGGCGAGCCTTCAGAAGTTGTGCGGCTGGTACACAAGCACAAAGCGCTTGCGTTGTACCCCCAAATGAGACTGCACAACTCTGCCTTCAAAAGCCCAGTGCTACGCTGCATGGGCTTTCCCTGCAGGATCCGAAACTGACGCTTGTGGATAATTCCCAGATCCCTGAAATGAAATGAAATAAAATAAAATAAAAATAAAAGCAAAGCAAGAAAAAGATCCCCAACAAAACCCAAAATGCTTGGATTTGCACGCACGAAAAGCAACTCCGTCTCAGGTCCCGGGCGCTCGGTGCACTTGGAGTAAATCTCTCCTGAACGCGGGTGTCAACACATGAGTGGAAGCCGTAAAAATCCCAAGAGCAGCTAGGAATCCTTAATTAAAAATGCAATCCACCGAGGCAGAGGTCGCAGCCCGCCCCACGCTGTGCTGGGTCGCTTCGGGCGCCGCGGCTGCCGAGGTCGCCCCCTTCCCCCCTCCACCAAAGTGCCTCCCGGTGGCCCCGCGGTCCCAGCGAGGTTTGGCGAGGCAGCGCCCGGCGGCTCTTTCTCTGGGCTCCGCTCCCTCGCTCGCTCCCCCGCTCGGCGCCCTCTCTCTTTTTTGTTCTCCTCAAACGCACACTGAGGGCCCCCGGAGGAGCGCCGCGGAGTCATTGGCTGCCTCCCATCATATGCCAGTCTAGACACTTTGGCGGCTCCGCGGCGCTGATTGTTGCGCAAACAAGGTTTCAAGTTTCTTAACTCTTAAAGGAGAACACGTCCCATTGCTGAGCCCAAGGCTCCAAGGGGGCTGGTTCCTGGGGCGGGACGAACCCGGGCCCCCGCCCCTCTCCCGCCCCGGCACCCCCGCCCGGAGGCTTACAGCGCCGGCGACTCGCTCTTTAGCTCACGTCGCGCCTTGGGCACGGATACGAGCGATCCCGCACACGCGCAAGCAAACACACACACCCTGCTACCAAGCTCTGCTCGGTGAACCCACAGCGACCCGGACTCCAAGGCGGCCCTTTGCCTCTCTCTGGCTTGTGCGCAAACTTGCAAACAGGCATTGCACTTTAGAGTCGGTCCAAACCCCCAGCCTCAGCGCGAGCTAATAAAAATGGGCGTGTGTGCGCGCCTTCCTGCCCTGCGTCTCTGGGGAATTGGGGGGGCGGCCGAGAAGTTGGGGTAGCAGGATCTTCCGTGACCAACGAAGGCTCCACGCACCCCCTTCCCAGGACTTGGGGTGGGTCGCTCTACTGGGCTACACAGCGATGGGGGGAGGGGGGCGTAGAACACTTCGATCCTGGGAGCTCCAGGACAGCCGGAGGTGGGGACTTGGACAGGGTGGGGTAGAGGCGGGAGTGCTCCTGCTCTTGGATGGCTCCTCTCGGTCGCCTGGGCTCTCCCGCCAGGCTGCCTGGCGTCCCAGGCCCCCCTCAAGCAGGGGCGCTTACTTTTCCCTTCTTGGATTTACTTTCTGCCCCTTCGAGAGGGGTGTGCTTTTCCCAGCTACGTTTCACTATGAAAACGGGCAAGTTGGGGGAAAGACTTGGGGGCCCGGCACGGAAAGGGTTAAGGCCGCTCCTGCCCTGGAGCCGGCGCGGCGGGGTACCTCCTCGGGCGTGCTTGCTAGTCCGAGGGTGGCAAAAGTTCAAGCTTGTAAAGTCGGGATTGGTCCCGCGCGGAAGGGGAAAAAGGCCTGGTTCCCCCTCCCCCTCCCGGGCGTGGCGCCGATTGGCTCAGCCGCAGGGCCGGCCCCGCCCTCCCTGGGCGCACCGCGGCCCCACCCCCGGCGCAGCGCCACGCCTCCTTCCGGGCATGAGCGGGGGGGCCCCGAGCTCAATGAAAGAAATTCCGCTACTCTCATTGGCTTGGGGCTGGACGCCGCTCCCCGCGGGAGGCGGGGTGCAGAGGATGGGGCGCGGATTTGTGATCCCCCCGTTTGGATACCCGTGCTCTGGGCTGGTGTCGTGACCGCAGCGTGCAAACCCAGGGCCAGGTCTAGGTGTGCGCTGGGGGAAGGGCCGAGTTTGCAGGAAAGACCCAGAATCATTTTCTGAGCCCTACCTGGAGTGAGGTACTCCTGTGCTGCGCGGGCCGATTATCACATCCACCCCTCACAATTTTGGCCAAGGTGAAACATGAATAGTCCTGACCATTGTTTCTCCTTTGAAAATGTTGAGACTGATGCCTGCCTCACAGAACGAAGATTCTAGGAAACAGTGCTTACTAATAAATGTACACAATACAAGTGGACAGTCAGCACCCACATGAACTTGCCTTGGGTCTCTTTCTCGCCCGTGAAGAAGTTGACCGCTCCTAAAATACAAAGAAAGCACTACAGGATTGTGCATACCCATTAGCTCCAGCACTTAGGAAGTTGATCAGGAGTTGAAGACTATCCTGGGCTACACATTGAACTGGAAGCTAACTGGGGCTGCATAAGACCCTGTCTCCAAAAGTCCCCCCAAATAAAATAATAGATATAAAAATAAACCAAATGTGTTTTCTTTTATGAAGATTATATTTACTGCTTTGGTTCCAGGTTACAATAATAGCAGATATTTTAAGCTCTTTACCACAGTAACCCAAGTTTCAAGCCTAACCAGCATGTATGCATTCATTTACATCTCACATCCTCATCGGATTTATTTTCTCTGTGTACAGCTGAGGAAACTGAGGCACAGAAACTTGCTCACTTAATTTGCCACATTGGGAGCACTAAGACACCAAAACCAGAAAGGCATGTACTGTAGGGGAAAAGGGCCAGCCAAAGAAACACATCCTGAGCAGAGCCAAAGAAACACACCTTAGCTCTAAACCAGAACCAAAGAAATGCACCCTGACCCTGAAATCAGTGCAAAGAAATACACTTTGTGGGAACTGAACGTGACATGCATAAAACTTTAAATAAAAAATATATGGGAAAAAAAGAAGAAATACACTTCATCCCTGGAATCAGAGTCAGTGAAATAAATACAACATGGCCCTAAAACTAGACTCAAAAGACTAAAAGGGACCAGTGAAAGAAACATACTTTGCCAGCTGGAGAGATGGCTCAAAGGTTAAGAGCACTGACTGCTCTTCCAGAGGTCTTGAGTTCAATTCCCAGCAACCACATGGCGGCTCACAACCATCTATAATGAGATTTGATGCCCTCTCCTGGCATGCAGAAGTACATGGAGGCAGAATGCTGTACACATAATAAATAAATCTTTAAAAAAAGAAAGAAACATACTTTGGCCCTGAAACCAGAGCCAAATCTGACCCTGAACCTGTGCAGAAAACTAACTAATCCCTGAGAGCAGGAGATCTAGCCATCCTAAACTCAGGGATTGAAATCTGACCAATCCCCACCCTGGAAAAACTCTGCTCCCTAAGAATCCCTATATAAACCCTGTGTCTGTTCAGTTTGTGGCTGTTCACGCTGCGGGCTGTCCTCTGCCAGCTTGGCAAAGAGCAGCCACTCTCCTGGATTCTTCCCTCCCAATAAATCTCTGAATGAGGTTTGGGTGAGACCTTCTTTTGCAGGGGAGCAGAGACGACCCTGGGCAGAGTGGAGCCGAGCAGGGCTGCAACACTTTTGTGGGGAAACCTTCCCCTGCCAGAGCAGAGTTGTTGCACCCAATTCTCCACTCTCCACTCTCCCAGGGAGCAGAACTGAACAGTAGCAATTTTGCTGAGGAAGCCTTCCCTGCCAGAAGCAGAGCTGATACACTGTAGAAGACTTCCCTGAGTCAGGGCTGTAACCTGCTTCTCTTACTGTGACCTGTGGTAGTCCTTGGCTCCCCAGCTCCAGGCTACCTTTCCATCCGAGCTGTAACACTCAGTATTCTGTGACTTCCGAGTGTCAGAATACCTGTCCCGTCCAATCCGTCAAAATGCTTACATGTACCAGCTGTGCTCTTACCCCCAACAGCTGGAAGAGGTGCATACCCTTGTGTTGTCACAGCATACCTTTTAGGGGAGTGGTTTCCAAAATGTAGTGCAGGGTACTTGCCTCTCTTAGACCTGTTAGATTAACATGTGGTAAGAGGCCACAACTCCCTAATACAGTGCTCTGGGGTTGAAGATGACTGACAACCAACATTATATAGAAAACTAAGGCACAAGGCCTTGGACACAATAGTTTGCACAAGCTGTCATTACTGACAGGGGTAGGATTTGAACCTAGCCAGTTTGACTAAGAAAAAAGAGTGAGCACCATAGGAAGCAAAGACACCAAGACTCCTGAAGGAGAGGTTCCCTGCCTGTAGACAATCCAAAAAGCCTACCTTATGGTAGGGATGGATACTTCCAGAAGGCTTCCCATGGCCCCCAGCCCTGGAGAAAAATATTAGTTGAGGCTTTTGTCCCTCCTGCCCCTTACTCTAGCACAAACATCTCTTCCTGCAAAGTCCCTGAGAAGGACCAGGCCAGGAGAGACTAAAGCAGGCCCTCAAGAATCCTGCTACCTTAAGTCAGGGACTGGAGAAATGGTTTGAATTTGAATGTGTAGAGAGGTCCATGTAAAAAGCCAGTCACAGTGGTGCTGGTCTGCAACCCAGAATTGGGGAGACTGGGACAGAGAGAAGCAGATACCTGGAGTTCTCTGACCAGTCAGTCTGGCTGAATGAATAAGTTCTAGGTTCAGTGAGAGACCTGTCTCAAAAAAAATAAGGTGGAGGGTGATCAAAAAGACACCCAATGTCAACTTCTGGCCTCACACATGTACACACCCACAACAAACATACCACAAACACACACTAAATAATAAAACAAAGGAATAAATAAGAGGGCTGCTAACTTAAGCAACATTTAGCGTCTTGGCACTGGCTCACAGGAGATGTAGGGTGGGGACGGTACCTAGGAAGGGCACTCCTGCACTGCATCCAGAGTCTGGTAGGTCTGAGGTCAGGGCCAATGCTATGGTTCTTCTCCACTTGATAAGCGTGGGTTATCTATCCACTATAAAATGGGAATAGGAATCATAGTAGGGACAGCTGCCAACATTAAATGACAAGAAGCCTTAGAGCAGCACTTTGTGCCACAGGACGGCTCCTTCTCTGGGCCCGTTCAACTTAGTGCTTGGCACACCTTGTAGCCACTAGAGGGTGTGTGCAGTAGGAGCCAACTGTGTAGGCCGGTGGAGTCACAGCTCTGACCTCCACCCTACTAAACTGCCACGTTCAGATTACTATGCGATGTAGGAAACAGAGAGGAAAGGCGGAAGGCAGATCCCAGTTGCCCATCCTCAAGGTCCTGCAGCCACAGGAAGTCACCCAGAAAGAAGTGACTCTGACCCCTTAGGTTTACACCTGTCTCCTACATCCTTCCCTTTCTCCTGGAAGCCCTCCATGCATCCTCATTTCAGCATCACCCTACTTTGGGCAGTACAGTTTCATGTTCTCCCCTCTGAAACAAAAGCCTACAAGGGCAGAGATGGGGAGCTTGTCAGGCTAGGTCATGAACATCAGAAAAGATCAGAATAAGGCCTCTGGGAACCCTCTTGTCTGAGACAGCACTGCCTCACTATTCCTGGCTCCCAAACACTCAGTATCTGTGGAGCAGCTGAATTAAAATTCCCCACTTCACTGAACTCTCCATCCTACCCGGCCGAACCCTCCTAGGCATCACCTCCTGACAACACAAGGAAGGTCTTGTTGTTTCTTCCTAGACTCTTTTTAAGTGCCAGAAACACAGAGGTTAGGTTATTTGTTTCTGGTCATAACAGCCAGTAGGTGGCAGAGTCAAAATCAGGTGAGTGAGCATCTCCTTAGAGTGCACCTCGTTCTACAAAAAATAAAAAATAAAAATAAATAAATGGCCTTTTGCCTTTAGAAAGTTTCCACACTAACTAATAGGGAAGGAGGCATGAGACAGAAGAAGTCACAGAAGCTAGAACTTGCTTCCGGGTTGTGGGAAGGAACTGGGAACTAGAGAGCACAGTTTACAAAGAAACCATAAGGAAGCCTGGCCACCTCTTGCCATAACTAAATGAATTGACCAGAAGGCTCATTATAACCCACTGCACAGAAACTGATGCAAATACCTACTAATTTCATGGAGAACATTTGTACATTCAAATGTTATAGCCCGACCATACGACTGGCTAAGTGGTGTTGTCTCCTCCTTTGGAAGGCAGTCTGCCTGCTTGGCCAACATAACCCCAAGTGGAAGAGCTGGGGCACACCTGAAGGTGACAGACAGCCCCTCTGAAACTTTGATACATGACCTACAGACTCTTTCTTGGGGGAAAAATGCCCATCTACTCAAAGAGAGTTTTGGGCTCATTGGTATTTGTTGAGTTCCTGCTAGGTGCCCCACCCTCCAGTAATTCCAGAGCTCATGGAATCTGGTGGAAGAGACAGACCACAACAAAACAAGCAGGATGCACAGAGTACTGGAAACAAAGTCCCCAAATTCAAAGTAAAAGAAAGAAGAGGAGAGAGAGAAGAGGTATGTGAGGGAAGGCTTCCTTGGAAAGGTGACGTTGGAGGGAGAGAATGAGGTTTTAGTGGTGACATAATTAAATTGAGGTCTTGGTGGTGACATTGAAATCGTAGTGGTAGTTGCTGGGTGCGGGATGACTTTCTAGCACATTGTCTGCTTGCGAAAAGCTATAGGAATAGATCCCTGAGGCAGGAGCATGACTGGGATGCATGTGTTTAGAACATTCCAGGGCCTTCACAGAGGTTAGAGAAATACCGGGGGCAGATGTGGGCTCGTTCAGGCCATCGCTGGATCTGTGGCTTGTGTTCTAAGTCAGTTGGAAGCCACTGAAGGTTCTGAGCAAGAGAGGCAGAACCTGCTTTCCAGGTTGTATCATTGACTTGCAGTGCTGGGGATCAAACCCTGAACCATGTGCATGCTGGGCTAGTGTGCTACCGCTGAGCCCAGGCTTTCTTTCGGGCTGGCTTTCTGTCTTAATCAGCTCCCCCTAACTGCATGTAGAGAATAGTTTGCAGAGCAGGCCCGAGCAGGAGCCTGGTAGGAGGCCTTGCAGGTAGCTAGGTGATTAGCAGCAACTTGGACTAGCGTGGGAGCAGTGGAGCAGTAGATAAGGCTAAGACACATATATCCAGGCTCTGCAGCAACATTGGAAGATGAAGCCCATAATATTTGGTATATATGTTTTTGAGATAGGGCCTCATATAACCCAGGCTGGTCTCTAACTTGATATATAGTCAAGAGTGACTTTGAACTTCTGATTCTCCTCACTTACCTGCTAAGGGCTAGTTTTACAAGTATGCACTTCTGTGTTCTATGTAGTGTTAGAGGTCAAAGATACTTATTTACTTGATTTTTAAATCAACTGTTTGCCCATATGTATGTCTGTGTATCCTATACATACCTGGTTCCCTCAAAGGACAGATGAGGATGATGAATCCCTGATCCCCTGGAACTGGAGTTTCAAACGGTTGTGAGCTGCCATGTGGGTGCTGGGGACTTAACCCAGGACCTCTACAAGAGGAACAAGTACCCTTAACCCCTGAGCCACCACTCCAGACCTCAATTCACTTGGGTTTTTTTGTTTGTTTGTTTGTTTGTTTTTGTTTTTTGGGTTTTTTTTTTTTTTGGTTTTACGAGACAGGGTTTCTCTGTATTGTTTTGGAGGCTGTCGGTCCAGCCTAGCCTCGAACTCACAGAGATCCGCCTGCCTCTGCCTCCCAAGTGCTGGGATTAAAGGCGTGTGCCACCACCGCCTGGCCAATTCACTTGTAAGTAATAGTATCTACAAAGGCACAAATATGTTAGTTACATTTATCACTTTCAAACAAAGATATATGTTGAGTAAGTAAGTCTGTTTAACTGTGTATAACCTCAAATGACTTTGGGATCACCAGTGGACATGTGTTTCATCAATTTCCAACTTCACCCCTTTGATTTTTCTTCATTTGTTCGTTAATTCATGATCATCTCTCAGAGAGGATGATTCCTCCCTGTTCTGTCTCTAAATGGAGTGAGGGAGGTATTTCCATAGCCTTCTTGAACCAGTTGCTGGTGTTAGTCTAGCCAACCCAGGTCTCCTACACTGGGGACAGTCTCAGGCAGGACCAACTAATGGTTAAGAGCCTGGACCACAAGATCCAGCTGACCTAGATTGGAAACTTAATTTCTCCACCAGATGGCTGTCTACAGACAGACTGCCCGAGTCTCGCCTTCTTCTCTTCCTCCTCCTCCTTTTTGGGGGTATTTTGTAGTGGTGGTGGTCGTGAAAATGGGTACACTTCTGAGGCGAACATGCTAGAGCTGAGCTACCCTCCAAATGTCTCTTTTGCTCTGCACAGTTCTCTTTCCTTTTCCTTCTCCTTTTCTTTTCTTTCTCTTTTCCTCCCTGAGAGTCTTGGTACAAAGCCCAGAGTGACTTAGAACTCAGTAGGTAACCCAGGTTATCCTAAAACTTCCAACCCTCCTGCCCCCACATCCCCAGCACTGGGGTTACAGGCTTGTCTATCAGTTCTAGTTTATAAAAATCTGAATCTTAGATGGCTGTGACATTAGACGGCAGTTTGGAATATCAAAGTTCACTGTCTAGAGGCTGGAGAAAGGATTCATTCTGAAAAAATACTTAGATTGCTGCTCTTCCAGAGGACCTGAGTTCAGTTCTTAGCACCCACATCAGGCAGCTCACAACCACTTGTAACTTCAGCTCCAAGGGATCCACTTCAGGAACCTGTACTCATGTGCATAAACCCACATAAAAGACACAAGTACAGTCAGTCAGTGGTGGTGGCACACACCTTTAATCCCAGCACTAGGGAGGCAGAGACAGATGGATCTCTGTGAGTTCCAGGCTAGCCTGGTCTACAGAGCAAGTTCCAGGACAGCCTCCAAAGCCACAGAGAAACCCTGTCTCAAAAAACCAAAATAAATAAAATAAAATAAAACACAGGGATAGTGGTTCATGTTTGTGATCCTATCAATGGGGGAGACAGAGACAGGTGGAGCCTTAGGGTTCCCTGGCCAGCCAGACTAGCTTTACTTGGCAAATTCCAGGCCAGTGAGAGATTTTGCATTTAAAAAAAAAAAAGTAGACAGTGCCTGAGGAAGGACAGCACTCAAGGTTGAACTCTGGCTTCAACACCTTTACATGCACACGGATAAACACACAGTGTCTGACATGGAATAAGGATTCAGTGGGATTCAGTGAACTATAGCTCATGTTAGTGAAGCGAGAATAGAGCCAGTTATTACCCAGTGGGAGCACTATATTAGTGGCAATGCTTAATCCTGTGGCAATTCCTTAATCTCGTGGGCTGGGCCCCTCTCACTGTCAAGTGGTTGACTTGGAGTTTTGAGTCAGGCAGGCCTCACAAAGGGACTCACTAAAGGACTCATGGAGGGACTTGCCCGTTTAACAAGCTGATAAAACAGCTTCAGAACTCTTAGAGCCTGCACCCTGGTCATGGAGGGAAGTAACTGAGATCACAGTGTGCAAAGCAGTTAGAGGTGTGACTGTCTGCCCCCAGGGTACTTCCAGGAGAGGGCAATGCCCTTACCACTGTCAGCTCTTCCTCTGGGAATGTGTGGGGACTGGGATGCCTGTCATGGTGGGATCACCACCAAGGCTGATCAAGGGTTCAAGCACCCGAAGTGAGGGTTTGGGGCCTTGGGAAGCTAAGGGATTTTCCCGGGACAAGTGACTTGACTCATAGGTGTTGGGAAATTTTTTTCTTCCTTTAAAACAGTCTAATAAAGCCCAAGCTGCCCTTGAACTTGCTGTACAACCAAGAATGAACTTAAATTCCTGAGCTTCCTGTCTCTACCTTTCCAGTATTAGCATTACTAGAGTGCACCATGGCAGATTTATAAGGTATCAGGAATCAAACCCAGGACTTCCTCCATACTAGGTAACACTCTACCAGCTGAGCTACATTTCCCAGCACCAGGAAATATATTTTTACATGATATATTTTTCTTTAATATATACATATATTATATAAATATGTAAAATAAATATCTATTTTTAAATTTTAATTGCTTGGTTTTCCATATATTTACATAATGACTTTTAATTGTTTCACCCCTTATTCTCCTCTCTCAGCTCCCTCCCTATTCTATGACATATATTTACTTGCAACAGATTCCATTTTGAATATTAAAACTAATGGAGATATACCAAGGAGTAGAATGAAACTGTTCATAAATATTTGATCAGAGATGAGAGACCACTCAAGACTGTCACTACCACCGTGAACACTTCCCCAGACTGACCTAAGACCTGATTCCACATAGGCCTCACAAAAGAAAGTGTTCAGTGCTTGATTCAGCAGCACATATGTTAAAAATTGGAACAAGACACAAAAGATTAGCATGACCTCTGTGCAAGAAAGTATCCAAGGGGGCTGGAGAGATGGCTCAGAGGTTAAGAGCACTGGCTGCTTTTCCAGCTGTCCTGAATTCAATTCCCAGCAACCACATGATGGCTCACAACCATCTATAATGAGATCTGGCGCCCTCTTCTGGCCTACAGACATACATGCAGTCAGAACACTATATACATAATAAATAAATCTTTAAGAGAAAAGAAAGTATCTGAGGACATGGATACACTGCTGAATTTGAGCACATTTCCATTGAGCATAGCTTTCCAAGGCTAGATTACTGAAGAACTGAGTAAAATGATGCACGGTCAATCACTCCTCCACACCATGGAGAGAGAAACTTCTGCCTTCCTTTCTAACCTGGCTGCCAGCTGGAGACCCCCCATTTGCCCCCAGAGATTAAAGGCTGGCCTCCAAGCTGCCTTGCCCTTAGATGGCTCACCTGCATCTCTCCTCTTCCCTCTGTCTCCTGGTCTCAGAGAGCCCCCCACACGCTCTCCAACACCCTAGTCTTTGCCATTGGTGGTCCATCTGCCTTTTCCTCTGAACCCCAAGCCTCCCTTCCTTGCAGGACCCTGGCATTGGCATGTCCCTCTTCCTCAGGACTGGAGATGACTTTCCACATCCCTAGTCTAGCACCCTGGGAACACCTCAGAAGTGTTGGGGGAAGGGGGCCTCTGAGGCCTCACTCTCAGTCCTCACTCTCAGCCTGCATCTGTCTCTAGGTCGTCACTCTCAGCCAATCACACCCTATGCAGATGCGCTTCCATCTGTGCTATTTCTGAAGAGTGGGAAGCTGCACTCCATAAACATTATTTTATAATAAAAGAATATTAAAAACAACCTTAATTGTATCGATATAATATCTAGTTAAAGAATGATGTTCACCACCCAGCTATTGAAAAAGAAAGAGGCACCTGAACATAAAAGATCAAGATAGAAAACAATTTAAAGCCGGGCGTTGGTGGCGCACGCCTTTAATCCCAGCACTCGGGAGGCAGAGGCAGGCGGATCTCTGTGAGTTCGAGGCCAGCTTGGTCTACAAAGTGAGTTCCAGGACAGCCTCCAAAGCCACAGAGAAACCCTGTCTCGAAAAACCAAAAAAAAAAATAAAAATAAAAAAAGAAAAAAGAAAACAATTTAAAAAAGAACTTTTGGAGGGCTGGAGACATGGCTCAGTGGTTAAACACAGGCTACCTTTTTTTTCTTTGGTTGGTTTGTTTTCAGACAGGGTCTCTCTGTTATGTAACTCTGACTGTCCTGGGAACTTGCTGTGTCGATCAAGCTGGCCTTGAACTCACAGAGATCCACCAGCTGCTGCCTCTCAAGAGCTGGGATTAAAGGTGTGTGCCACTGCACCAGCCTCTGACTGCTCTTCCAGAGGACCCAGGTTAAATTCCCAGCACCCACATGACAGCTCACATCTTCTGTAACTCTAGTTCCAGGGAATCTTTGCCATCTTCTGGCATCCACTGGCACTGCATGAGCATAGTACACAGATGGACTGATAGGCAAAATATCCGTACCCCTAAAATATAAAATAAAATAAATCTTAAAAATGTAAAAACAAAACAAACCCTAACAGTTGACCCCAATGGACATTATGCCACAGGTCCACTCCGACTGTCCTAGGGACTTGAACCCATGTGAGTGCTAGGGAAGTGCTATAACCATTGAGCTGCATCTCTAGCCTCACTATACTAAACTTCACATTCATTTTATTTTTCTGTTCCACTTTTGAAACAGGGTTTAATGGCCATTAACTCACTGTGTAGTGAAGGATGGCTTGAGCTTTTGATCCCCTTGCCTCTGCATCTTGGTCACTAAGACTATAGATGTATGTCACTGCACCCTACTTACCTCAATTTAAAAAATTTGCAGGCAGGGCAGTGGTGGCACTCACCTTCAAGCCCAGCACTTGGGAGGCAGAGGCAAGTAGATCTCTGTGTGTTTGAGGCCAGCTTGGTCTGCAGAGTTCCAGTACAGACAAGGCTACACAGTGAAAACCTGTCTCACACCTGCCCCCCCCCAAAAAAATCTGTTCACAGATGCACAAATGGTCTTTGGAAAGATGTACAATAAAGTCAGGCATTGGTGGTGCCTGCTTGTCACGAGACAGGAGGATTACTGTGACTTCCAGACTGTGCTAGGCTACCTCGTGAGACTGTCTGGAGATATGCCTGGTAAAGATGGATACATGCCTCTAGAGGAGAGGTTCTTGGAGAACACAAATATGTACATTACAATTCATAACAGTAGCAGAGTTACAGTTATGAAGTAGCAACAAAAGTAGCTTTATGGTTAGGGGTCACCACAACGTGAGGACCTGTATTAAGGGGTCGAAGCACTAGGAAGGCTGAGAACCACTGTGCTAGAGAAAGGCACAGGTAGACAGAAGCTGGCCACTCTTCAGCACAGAACCATTGGTCTTTCGTTCAATTGCTTGTTGGGTTGGTTTGGTTTGGTATGGTTGTGCTGCATTGTTGTGTTTTGAGACGGAATCTCACTATGTAGCTCAGGCTGGCCTCAAACTTGCCGTCTTCCTGCCTCAGCCTCCCAAGTACTGGGATTACGGGCAGTGTCCTCTGCCACACCCGACTTTTTATGTTTAATTTTTGTTTTTAGCTCTAATTAATTTTGGAGGGCATATGTGTCCTGGAGCGAGAGAGGAGGTCAGAGGACAACTTGCCCGGGTTGACTTTTCTCCCTCAGCCATGTGAATCCCAGAGATCAAACTTAGGTCATCAAGGTTGGCGGCAAGCTCCTTTCCCCATGCAGCCATCTCAATGGCCCCCACATCCAGCTTTTTAAAGTCATCCAGTGGTGAATCACCAGTACTTGTACTTGGCACAAAATCTAGATGGTTCTATTTGGGACGAAGGCCACATCCCACTTTCCATCTCCTGCCCCTTGGCATACAGTCCCATGTGGACACCTGTCAGTCCCCTCTGAACACTCTCTCCCCAAGCTGAATCTTCAGAAACATTGTAAACATTGCTTGCAGAAAGGAAGAAAACCAACAGAAGAATTGTTTATTAAATAATTCTAATCCCCGAACCAGTCCATTGACCTGCAAAGCAGGACATGACTAAGTGACAAATGAAACCGACCAAACCAAGCAGAGACAGAGGTAAGAGCTGATGACAGTGGGACAGCACATCCTGCCCCGCCTCGCTTGGGACTTCCTGTGTGTATGTCTTCCTTCCCAGCCAGGCCAGGCCTGGCTTCACGCTTTTGTTTGCTCCAGAGCCTGGTGTGCAGAAAGCCTATCAGAAACACTCCCTGTCTTCATTCCCTCTGGTGCAAGTCATGCTCAGGGAAGGGACAGAGGACAGAGTCTCCAGCATACTCCAGGGCCTGGTGCTGTACACAGGCAGCATTGTGACTCCTGCAAACACTGGACTCATCCATCTTTACATACCCCCATTAATAAATTAAAACCTATTTGACAAGTGTGCTGACACAGGAACAAAATCCCCAAAATCCCTCAGGCTAGATCTGTTGTTATTATCATGAAGTAGCCCTAGTGAACCTGCAGCTAGGCTGCTAAGTCCTGGTCCTCCAGCTCTGGCTCTGGAGTAGCTGGGACTACCGTCTTGTGTGCTCTACCAACGCTACCTTATAGGATTCTGGGATTCAAGCCAGGGCCTCTGGTACTCTAGGCTGGCATTCTAGTCACTGAGTTGCATCCTCCAGTCCTTGTTTCTTTGGATTTTAAACAAAACTCAGACACTTCATACACAGTAACTAATGAGTATGTAGGCTCTGAGCCTGAGCGTAGGCCCCAAGCATGGCTTATGTTTACTAACCAGTAACTGCTTCTCAAGAATAGCCGGCTCTAGGAAAAAACACCCTTGCTTTGTAGCCCTGCAGATCCTGGGCCACAGTCAGACTACCACTAAGGCTGCAGAGTTTAGTCCTGGATAACATGCCCATTGCTGGTAACGGAAGAGTGTCCACAAAAGAAGGAATGTTCTAGTGGGTCAGGTCCACAAGGGGCCAAGAATCAAGGTCCTGTGTGACAAAGAGGCAAGAGGCAGTGGTGAGAGACACGGGAAAGGTTAACATCTGGCTCTCACTCTGCTTGGGCTCTGGGCCTTGCCACGTGTCCCAATCGCGTGGGTGTTTACAAAAAACATTGGCTGAATCACTCCCAGGCCAACTTCACGGGTACTGGGACCACAGATGGGAGCCACCATGCCGGATTCTCTGCCACCTGAGCTCTGTCCTCAGCCTCGGCCTTTGTTTGGGCTTCTGCAGTCCCTCTGGTAATTCTAATTCATGCCGCATTCGTTATTTGGACTTACAGCTGCAGGCAGAAAGCCGATCGCTCACATCTTAAACCCCAAGCACAAAGCCGAGTGAGTAAACTGGAAGTAAGCAGGGCACTGTGTTACTCTCAAAGCCCACCCCCAGTGATGCACTTCCTTCAGCAAGGCCAGTTCACCCAAAGCTCCTCACACAGATCCACCAACCAGGGGCCAAGTTTTAAATGCCAGAGGCTTTGGGGGAAATATCTCATTCAAACCAGCCCTCAGGCTAAGGCCCAACCGTTACAAAGCCCTTGCTGAATGGAGAAGGAGTAAGGCAGGGCAGGGACCTCTCACCTGGCCAAGTTCTGAGACCATAAGACCTCTCAGTGGTTGCCAGAGGCAGAACAGAGTTGATGTCCCTCTCCTGAGCCCTTCTGAAGTCCTGTCATTAACACTATATTCTTTTCTTTTAAAAAAATTTAGGGATTTATTTATTATGTACACAGTGTTCTACCTTCGTGTATGCCAGAATGTCATAAGAGAAGGCACCAGATCTCATTATGGATGGTTGTGAGACACCATGTGGTTGCTGGGAATTGAACTCAGAACTTCTGGAAGAACAGTCAGTGCTCCTCATCTCTGAACCATCTCTCCAGCCCTCTTTTCAAAAAAAAATTTGAGATTATAATTACAACATTTTCCCCTTCTCTTTCTTCCCTCCGTGACCTCCCATATATCCTTCCCCAGTCTTCTTCAACTCCATGGCCTCTTTTCTCTTTTGCCACTAATTG